ATTATTAATCCCCTTTTTTTCTAGATTTTTCTAGAGCACTTCTCGTGTCCTATATTGATTTTGAAAAATAATACTGTGTAATGCTTTCCATACACGAATCCAAATTGATATTGAGAAATAATCCTATACAATAGAATGAAAATTGAATATCATTTGTCCTATATTCTTATTGACATGAATCCTTATGGCACAATATAATAGAATGCAATAGAATGCAAATTGAAATACTATATAGGACAAATGATATTCAATTTGCATTCTATCTATGGTTAGACCTTTCTTGTGCATTCTATTGACATGAATCCAAATTGATTTTGAGAAATAATACTTTTAAATTGTAACCTATGCTCAATAACTCCCTCCAATTATTTGAGTATTTCCTTTTGATACAATAATACTATTAAATTGTAACATATCCTTAAAATAAATTACAAACTCTTACAAACCTAAATCATGAAAATTTAAATCTAACCCTAAGACACAATCAATCATAAAATATATTACAAACTCTTGCAAATTTATAGTGAGAACACATAATCACAAAAAACATTAAAGAATACCTTCAAATTCCGATTTTTCTTCAACTCACACGAAAAATAGGGTAGCCGGTGTGAGATCGACGGCGGCGAGATAGCATACCCTAATCGCGCGATAGGCGGCCGGTGTGGGGTCGGCGATCGGACTGAGTTCGTCGGCGGTCGGAGAGCGGTTGTCGGCGGCAAGACAGTGCGTACGATCGAGCGAGACGGGCGGAGGCGACGGCAGAGCTCGTCCGAACAGAGACAAGGAAAGATTAGAAATGAAATGCAAGGCTTGGGCTCGTTCATTTTAGGGCTTTTACCGACGGTCATGACCGCCAGTAATTTCATCACTTATCAACGGCGGTATATGCCGTCGGTACACCGCCGATAATATTGAAGATCGGCGGTCTAACCGGCGGTTACAAGACCGTCGCTAATACCAGTGGTCCAACGTTACGAAACCCTCGGGTACGCCGCGGGTAAAAGCCGGCGGCCACACCGCCGAATGAACCACCGGTAATACCGGCGGTCCTTTAAACGCCTGTCATAACCGCCGGTAAGAGGCATTTTTCCTGTAGTGAATAAAATATAATTGAGCATAATTCGGTAAATGTCAAAATGCATTAATAATAAACAACAAAAAATCATATTGAACAAAAATTCACATTTTTTAAAATTTAAACAAATTTCCAGATATTACATAAAATAATATTCTAAAGATTTAGTTGAACTAAATTACTATTTTTTGACGTCAAAATAAATTTCTAAGTAGGCAAAAATTGATGTATTTTTAAAATTACTAGTTGAAAAATCTCAAAAAATACTCAAAATATTCATAATCTGAATCTCTATAATATAAAAAAAGTTGCACGGTGAAAGTTTATCAATACAAAATTATTATTATTTTTCGTTAACTGGAATACAAATTTAATTAAAAAAAATCCTAAAAATATAAAATCTTTGAAAATAGAAATAGGTTAAAGGTTCCTTATAGTGAAACGAGTAAATATCCTAACTATCTCAATTGACGAAAATCATTTCGTGGCTTCCAAATCTCAATTTTCTTTTTCTCTTACCTTTTTTCTCTTTTTTCCCTAAAAACATATCTATTGCCGAAATCCATAAGGAAACATTTTTAAAAAGCTTTTAATATTCTAAGTGACATAAGATATTTTATTAAAATAATAATTTAATATTATATAATTAGTTTAATCAATTTCTTTAGTATAAAAGTCAAATAAATCATTGTAGCACTTGAAAAATTATACAAAAATTTTCATAAATTATTTTATTTAAAAAATATAGATGAAATCAGTTTGCAAAATGGGCACCTAACGGTCTTAAAATCTTCACTTCTATTGATATGTACTAAATTATTAAGGATTTTCACTAACGCCCAAAAATTACAAAAAAATTCGTGCAAGTAAAATACTACAATAACAACACTATGACAAAGATGGTTTACGATTTGGAGTTATAATGACTCCTAAAAAAATTAATAAAGTCAAAATATGGGCTATTATATTTGTGTCATATTGATTCATATCTCAAGGATTTACTGCCATCAAGTGCAAATGCCTTCTATCCACTTGCATGGATGTTATATATTCGGTGGCATGGCGTCATATCAAAATTATTTGATTCTTTATGTAGGTAGGCTATCGTGCACTAACGAACCTCCTATTGTGTGTTTGTCAATGCTTGTAGGTGGCCCGTTGTATGCAGAACAAATTTACTATCATAACTCGTAGGCATTTGCACTTGACGTAGTCACTTTGCATTTTGCTCATAGATAATACATGGGATGTATGACAGATCTTTTGTAGCAGCTCTTAGGAGCTTGTATTTATTATATATTATCAGTCTCCACTCTCAATGGATTGATTTATTTGTAGGCCATTGAATAATTGTCAACTATAAGGGAGTTGTAATATTAATTACTTATTGTTGATTATCCACTCTAGACACGCTATCAAGCCTACAAACTCTTCCATCATCACCATTAGGTGTTTGCATTCACCATTTATTGTATTGTGTATGTTTGAATTCATCATATGTCAACTATCGAACCCTCCTACTTATAGGGGACTCATGTATTTGTTGGATGTCTGATCGATGTTGTCAGTTATTACCTCTAAGCAATTGATGCAGTCTTTTTATGAGATGATTGACATTGACTTCAAGACATCATACATGTCCTTCATGCTAGCTGCATATTGATCAATATGGCTAGCAAAGGTTCAGTGGATTTATTTAACAGTCAAATAACATTGATTGTACACTAGCTCTTATGTCCTCGATCTTTCTATACATTTGTTGTCGTCCTTTGGAGGTGACTTGTGGCTTGCATAATAAACTCATTCATTAATCAACGTAATGACTCCTTGATATTTTATTGAAATTTTGCATTATTGGTTGCAAGCATGTTGTTGCATTTTCCTTCAATTTTGTTAATTGGTACATTCAAGCAAGTTGTATTGGAGTTCTTTGTTCAATATAAGTCCCATATTAATTCATTTGCATTTAATTAGTAATTAATTATTATACAAATTAAAATTGCATTTATCATTAGTTTCTTTATACACGTTGATCGATGAACTATTGTATGTACTTGCGAGCTAACTGATAACAGTCGTAGGGAGACTGCAACATCACAAGTCCATTGCTTGTATTGTCAAGACATTCATCAAAAGTTTTTTTGATGAGTCAACACATTCATTAGGGGTTTTCTTCCATTGATGATTTCAGGTTCTTCCCATAGACTTGCAAGTGCACTAGTGCAGACATTGCAAGCTTCATATCATTCATATGTAGGATGAATATTTTGTAACATCATTTGCAATCAAGTTACATATTCATGTTAACTATTGCTCGTTGGTGAGATGTAAGAATTTTCTCATAGTCCACCACAAATCATTGCTTGTTCACTTATATCCACTTGAATGATCAGGATTTGTTTATTAAGCATTCAGATTTTGATTGCCCATTGGTTAAACTAAAGTCTGGTTTCATGTGTTCCATTTAAATTTGAATTCTTTGAATCATCACTTATCATTTGCACTTATTTGTATGTTGGTGTTAATCATAAGTTATTGCATTCGTCATATGTCCTTGTAGCCAATGCAATTATCCCAAATCAATCTTGCAAGAGTTTCATTATCATTTGTGAGAGAATGGTGTTTGTGGGTTCTTTATTTATCACAAATTTTTCATGTGTTCTTTTGCATTTAATTTGGACATATTATCTCACCAATCATGTTTTCATTTTAAGTATTATATCATGTTCTTTCATGCTTAGTTCAAGTTCCTTATTATCATGAATTTGGTTCTCTGTATCTGTCCAAAGTTGCATTTTAAAGTCATCATCGTTTGATTTAATTTTAAGTTTCTTGTTTGTTCTGTTAAGTTCATTGTGTCTAGCTCAAGTTTAAGTTCACAAGTCTAAATTCAAGTCCCCTACTTCACGGAAAAATCCGGCAGCCTCCCGGTGTCTCCCTTATTTAGGGGAAATCTAGAAGAAACCGTCTTCCCCTTCACGCTACGTGAGCGCTTCATGTAGGTATTAGATGACACTATAGCCGCATTGTTTCAATCGCCGCCACACTACATTAAGCTCTTAATTAAATGTCTTCAAGATACCTGTTTGAAGAACATGTAATTTTCTTTTCTCCACTATGTTACATGAACGCTTAAGGGTACTTAAGAGTGTCCCTGCTACGCTACAGAGTATGTACATGGCTTACCCGCCTCATATAGGAGATTTTTTGGCTCATCGTAACACCGAAAATGGGGTTTGGGTTAGCAATGATCGCGTGAAGCAAGTCCACAGCATCGAAGAATTCGACGCCGCCCTCCGCACAGCAAAGAACAAGCTCGTTGTCGTCGAGTACGCTGCCAGCCACAGCCCCCATAGCCGCCGTATTTATCCGTTTATGGTGGAGCTCAGCCGCACCTGCGCCGACGTTGACTTCCTCCTTGTCATGGGCGACGAGTCAGACGCCACCAGGGAGCTGTGCCTAAGGGAGAAGATCGAGAAAGTTCCGCACTTCAGCTTCTATAAGACCATGGAGAAGGTAATTAGCGGATTTCTTTAATTTTTCTTTGGTGAACACTGAACAGCGTATATCATATCAGTTTAAGAAGCAATGCATTGAAACCAGACTGCTGTGTTCAACTGGTTTTTAGACCAAATTTCTCTAAAAAATTATCAAGTTGGATGGAGTTTGAGACCAATTAAGACTCAATGGATTGACCGATTTGATCTTGAAGATGTTATTAAGAAGGCTTGCATTTGGTTTCTCTTAATTGCTCTAACTTTTTCCTAATAGAATGGGGGAGAGATTGACAAAAAGATAAACATTAGATGTTGCTGAGATTGAAGATTAGTGTTTGATTGATGGTCTTGGACGTTGGTGAAGATGAACATTGCCATTGTTCAATATTCAACATCAAATGGTGGGTAGATTCAGGGGCGGAATCAGCTTCTCGTTTGAGAGCTGACAAAATAGGATTGGGAAATGCATAACTTTTTGTATGAAATGGAAAAATAATTTTCTTTCGTAGAATTTGGATAATTGCATTTATTGAAGGTAAATAAAATAGTTAAAATGCTTATTCTTCTGAGGAAGAAAACAAATATTTGAAGGTGGTCATGACATGTATGTTTGGGTATTTTAGTCCCTCAATGAACTTAAAATCAAGTGAACTTAGGCTGTCAAATTTATCTCATACACTCATTTTAATACAAGTAAATAAACTTGGATTAAACTTTGTTAAAAATGGGTTTATGTTATTCTCAAATTTGATTCTTATAGTCCATGATTCAAATATTCATTTCTTATAGGTATGAATAATGCATCAAAAATTATGTTTTATAATAACAATTGTTTTTTTATGATGTATCAAACAACTATAAAATAGTTTATATTTTCATATTGGATTTGTTAATTTTATTTGGTGTAACAAAATATATAAATATAATATCATTATTATTATTGAATGGAAGTAAATACATATCAACTACTTATATAGTCTTTTGTATCAAATATCTAATAATGAAGAAAAAAGATTCATATAAATGACTGTTCATAGTGGGGTAAGATTTGAGCTTTGTTTGGAATGATTTTTTTATTATGTTTTAAAATAATTTTTTTAGTATAAAATTTTGTTAAATTAAAAATTTTTGTACTAAAAAATTGCTTTATGAAATAATAAGAAATGTGTCTCAAATGAAAACTTTTAAGACAATTTTCTTATTGCTTTCTATAGCAATTTTTAAGTATAAAATTTTTTATATTAAAACATAACTTTAAAAATTAATTAAAAAATTATCTCAAACAAAGACTTATTTTTTATATCATAATTTGATATCCAACCTTCATTAATTAATACTTAAAAAGGAACGATAAATTTTAAGTAATGCAGCACATATTTACTCATCAAATTTGTTCAAATCCATTGGATGCCTAAAGAGAAATTAAGAAATAATATTTCTTTGCATTTCCCTTCAATTCGTTCAAAACAAAAAGAGTTTGAAAGGAATTAGACCAATTCAAATATGTTTTATTTTCTAATGTCTTATTATTTATAATTATATTATAATTAATAAATAATTAATTTATTTTAAAAAATAAATTGGCGCTTATAAGATTTTCAGTTGTCTCAAATTAAAAATAAGAGAATATATATATAAGATTTAAAAATTTTAATTACATAAACAATTGTATGAGTATTAATTTATTAAATTAAAATTCATTTATATATATAGCTGTGAATTAAACATTAAAATAATATATAAGCAGATAAAATTGAAAATGATTTGAACATTAATTTTTGTTAGCCCAACTAATCTAACCCTCTTTAATAAATAAAATTTATATTAATTTGTTCATATTTAAATTATATCACTATGAGTTAAATATTATTAAATTTATTCAAAGATAAATAGAATTATATATAAAAATATTTTGTTGCAACGCATATCATAGTGAGTTTTGAATTTATGTAATTTATATTATAATTAATGCAATTTGTAATATCTTAATTTAACTTGGACTAATTTAAAATTCATTATGGTGGATTTTTCCGGTTTATTGAGGGAGGACCTCATGTAATTAACTAATTCGCAGATTCACGAGGAAGAAGGCATCGGCCCGGACGAGCTAGTCGGCGACGTGCTCTACTACGGCGACAGCCACTCCGCCGTCGTCCAGCTCCACAGCCGCGAGGAGGTTGAGAAGCTCATCGGAGAGCAAAAAGGCTACGGCAAGCTCATCGTCCTCGACGTCGGACTTAAGCACTGCGGCCCCTGCGTCAAGGTATACCCAACCGTCGTCAAGCTCTCGCGCTCCATGGCGGGAAGCGTCGTCTTTGCTCGAATGAACGGCGACGAGAACGACAGCTGCATGGGATTTCTGAAAGATATGGGCGTCGTTGAAGTGCCGACGTTTCTGTTCGTGAAAGACGGAGAGATTTGTGGAAGGTATGTGGGTTCTGGGAAGGGGGAGTTGATTGGGGAGATATTGAAGTATCAAGGGGTGCGTGTTACATAAGATTGAAGATTTTGTTGTCTTTGATCTGATTAATTTGTTAGTAATTGGCATGATCATTGATGGGAATGGAAGGTTTTATATAATAATATGATTTAGGGTTTTGGTTGAATAATGTGTGCTATGTATGGATTAGTGCATGCGTGTGTTCATCATTTGTGTTTTGTTTTTAGAAGTAATGCTATTTAGGTTGAATTGGATGAGATTGTATGGAAGAAATGAAGATTTTGTTTTGATGACTGGAGAGATAAATATGATGATTTAGTTATGGAATTTTATGAACTACAACATAATTTAGCAGTTTTGTAAGGCTGTTCGTTTATTTGTTTAATTTTTCTTAGAGTTTTAACCTGAGAAACTTACTTCCCTCCACAATGTTTGATTAGGAAACTGTGTCAACACAAACATCTTGCCAGAATGGCGTCCAACGATTAAAACAAATATATATATATTTTTTTTCTTTTCTGCAAAGCATTCTGTTAGTGTCTCAAACTGCCAAATATTAAAGAAAAATACCACTAAATTAGAGTTTAAGGAGCTCTTTGGAATATTTTTATTTTTATTTATTTATTGTTATGTTTAAAAAATAAATTTACCTGTTTCTTTTTTAAATACTGAAAAAACTTTTAGATCTTTTTACAGGTGTTCTTATTTTTTTTTTTCAAAATAAAAATCACATTGAACTTACTCTTACCAACCACCACTACTGTTGTTGGCAAATATCAAATATTTGCCATGGAGTGCTGCTGATAGGAAGATAGCATGGAGAGATGTAAGAAAAGGTCGTTTGATTATCTGGGCATCACTATCTCCATAACAAAACTAAAATATAATGATTTTTCCAAAAATTTTAAGAGGCTCCTTGTTAAGCTGTTGGAAGTAGAAATTGCTCTCTTTCTCCAGTTCACCTGGAATTATTTGTACTACTGTTTCCCTGTACTATTTTACTCAAAATTTCTAAAAAAGAAAATTACTAGCTTTAATACTAATTTTCTTTATAACAATAGTGAGCATAGAAAACTTAAACTCATATCCTGGATTACTATTACCAAACCCATTAACAATGAAATTTTAGGCCTACCAAGTCTTATTGCATTGCATGTTATGACTAAATGCAAACTCTTTTGGAAATTATACAACTCTAGCACCTCTCTTGCCTCTTGGCTATTCAATGGCTATGCCACTCTATGAATTAAGCCAATTAATAAAGTTACCTACTACCAGAAATCTTTGTGTGATCTTGCAAATGAAACATGCATATGGCTCTCTTTTAAATTTGGCAACAATTGTGGCTTGCTTTTCTTTTTAGATCCTTGGCTTAATGGTAATAGAGCACAAAACCATAATCTCTGACAGAACAACAGAAAACCACATGCTATAGTAAATCATAAACACTTGTATATAACAAACACTCTCATCACAAGCACACACACGTTAAGCTACATAAGCCAAACATCTCTTTAGGCAAATGTACTGCTCAGCTTTATAGTAAGGAAAGATGACTATTCAATAAACTCTACTATCTCTTACTCAACTTTAATTACCTATGCTCTCTCTGGTTTGCTCCAGTACTCTTGCAAGTAGCAAGTCTTCTTCATGGTATTAGAGCAGTTGTGATTCAACCGATTTAGCATAGCAAACTCCTCAACTTCCTAGATCGCTCTGTCAATGCTTTCACCGAAACTTCAAGCATCACGTCATCCCTGAAATTTGTTGTCTCCAACCTTAAGAACATTATACTCACACAGTTATCTACTGATAACTACTCCCTTTGGTATTCCCAGGTTATCAAACTTTTTTGCGCAAACGATTTCGCAAGTTTTCTAGAATCAACCTCAATACCTCCGTCCCGTCTAATTCAACAACTAGACGACACCACCATTCCCAAGCCTGCATATACACAATGGTTACTCAATGACCAAAACTTAGTTGCGGCAATACGCTCAACTATCAGCCATCTATACTTCCATATATCCTTCACCTAGAATTTAACTTTGCCATCTAGAATACCCTTGAGCTCCGATTTCAGTCCACCAACAGGTCTAAGGTTATTCAGCTCAAGAATGAGCTTCATAATATATCCATGAAAAACCTAACCATGACCCAATACCTAATTGAGATAAAAACATTAGTAGATCAAATAGCTGTTGCTGGATCTACAGTTGATATAGAGGATATTATCCTCTACACTCTTAATGGTCTTCCAACCCCATATCAAGCTTTCAAAACCTCAATAAGAACTATGCTCACACCCATAAGCCTTGTCAATCTATACTCACTACTTATATAAGTGAAGAGATTAATATTGACATAGAAGCTTCCCGCGCTCCACCTATTAGAGATACACACACAGCTCTATATTTATATAGAGGCCGCAATAGAATACGTTGAGGGAGACTTCTTCAAAACATTAATACCAACAATAGACCCCCATCAACTCAAGCACCTATCTGCCAGATTTGTAACAAGAAGGGACACCTTGCCTTAGTCTATTGGCATAGACTGAATGTTCATAATGTTCTGCAAACGCCTCTAGCTATTAACAAAGCCCGGCTAGCTTCTTCCGATCCACCCTCAATTGATTGGTATCCCAACTCAGGTGCTTCGTCCCACCTCACACATTCTCTTGACAACCTCTCCCAAGCAACTCCATATCAAGGATCCGATATCATTACCATTGGAGATGGCTGCTCAATCCCCATAGCTCACTCAGGTGCAGGGCTCTCTATCTAACCAAAGATACCAATATTTCAATCACATTTGACCCTTCCGACATTATTTTTAAGGATCTGAAGACAAATCAAATTATACTCAATGTACCCTACCGTGATGGGTTGTATCCATTCACCCACTCTTCTCCCGATCCCAGCAAATCCGCATTTACAGCCATCAACTCTACTTCCACAATCTAGCTTAACAGTCTCGGCCACCCTCACCGACGAGTCATGGCTACCATTTCTACTCGCAATCCTCAGCTCCACACATCCACTGTTTCTTCTATATGTATCTCATGTAACTTTCCCCATAAGTTAAGATTTTGATAAATCAACCAATAAGCAACATACTCCCTTATTCGCTCTAGTCTATTCTTATGTATGGGGACCTTCCCCTGTTACTTCCAATCAAGGATACAAGAATTACATTGTTTTTGTTGACGATTTCTCCCATTCACATGGTTATTTCCAATGATAAACAAATATGATGTCACTAACATCTTTATCAACTTCAAAACTCTAATTGAAAAGCAAACCTCCCACAAAACTAAAAGCCTCCAAACTAACGGTGGCAAGGAGTACCTCAACCTCCAACTCACTCAATTTCTCAAGCACCATGTTATTCATCACCAGATCTCATGCGCATATACTTCTAAACATAATGACCTAGCTGAACGAAAGCATAAACACATCCTAGACACTACTCGTACCCTACTTCATACTGCATCAATTCCATATCGCTACTAGCCCAATGCTGTTCTAACAGCCATCTACCTCATCAAGAGAATGACATCCACCACTACAAACAATCTTTCTCCACTTCAACTTCTCTACAACATCCAACCTTCATATTCACACTTACGCACATTTGGGTGTGAGTGCTTCCCTTTCACACCTAAATCTACATCTTATGTCTTCATGGGATATTTGGATTCCTACAAAGGATACAAATTTATGGATCTTGCTACCAACTGCATTCATAACTCTTGTAATTCTCACACAAAATCATACTCAAATATACCTGCTAATCTACGTTGACAACATTCTCCTCACCAGCAACAACTCCTCGGTAATATCTACTCTACTTCAACAGCTTGACAGTAAATTTACAATGAAACACCTTGGTTAAACTCATAACTTTCTTGGTATTCAAATCGATTCACACACCAACGTATTTCCTCTCCCAACAATCTTATGCCCTCTCCATATTACATCAAGCAAACCTCACTCAATGCAACCCACTGTCCAATCCAACGTGCACAAAATTGCCACCAAATGTTCTCGCTGATCTTATACTCTCCGATCCTACTTTATACTAAAGACTAACCGAATCCCTATAGTATCTAAGTCTCACCCGCCCTGATATTGCATATGATGTCAACCTTTTCTCCCAACATATGCACAACTCTCTACCCCATCACATTTACCTTCTTAAATGCCTTCTTCGATACATCAAGGGCACTCTTCATTTCGGCATACCCATAACCCGTAGCCACCTGTGTCTACAATCTTTCTCAGATGTAGACTGGGACGGCAATCATGCCTCTCACAAATCAACCTCCGGCTACTGCTCATTTTTAGGGACGTCAACCTTCTCTCCTTGTACGTCTATTGACTGACTTCCAACTTCCACAGGACCAACCAACTGACCTCTATTGTGGCAACACATCAGCTATTGCTCTAGCAAATAATCCCATTTTCCACGTCAGAACTAAACACATAGAAATAGATCATCGCTTCATTTGTGATCACATACATCACAATACTATCGGCTTCTTCTCATCAACACAGTAGACCAAGTTGCAGACATTCTCACAAAACCGTTGACTACAACAAGGTTTCATCAGCTCAGGTCCAAACTGATAGTCATATCAGATCCATCAGTTTGCAGGGGAGTAATAGAGCACAAAACCATTATCTCTGATAGAGCAATAGAAAACCACATGCTATAGTAAATCATAGCCACTTGTATATAGCAAACACTCTCATCACATGCACACAAGTGTAAAGCTACATAAGCCAAACATCTATATAAGCAAATGTACTGCTCAGCTTTATAGTAAGCAAATATGACTATTCACTTAACTCTACTCTCTTATTCAACTTTAATTACCTCTGCTCTCTCTGGTTTGCTCCAGTACTCTAGCAAGCAGCAAGTCTTGTTCAAATGGTAAATCACAGAGCAAGGTTTTTATAATTTTGATGCTCAAAATTTCCAACTGTATCTACAATGTTATAGTCAATGAATTCATTACTAATGGTAAGTGGAACTTCCTTATCTTCATGAATTATGAGTACAACGCTTGCTTTCACCAAATGCTTCAAATTGGGATACATCCTACATCATTTTGCTATGACTGATTAGGGAGTAAGCCTTTCTCCTATAAGTTTACCTACAAACAACTCTTTCTTGTTGGACCAAAAATTACTTGGAAGAATTTAGAAAATTATAATAGGTGGATTGAATATCAAATATTCCTTAGTGGCTAGAGGAATCAATGTGGATCAAATTTGTGTTCTATGTTGTACTTATGCTAAATCCAATTGTCGTCTATTTTTTATTGTTCTTACTCT